TTCTTTGGGATTCTTACAAACAGCAGGTATTACAAAGAGCAGGAATTATTCTGTACCTTTACTGCAAGGTTGAAATTGTGATCAATGGGGAAAATATGTATGAATTTAGATTCTGAATGCTCAATGCTAAAGATGATTCTGCTCCACTTCCTTGCACCGAGAGCATGTCTGTTACGGCAGGTCCTGAACATGAGGGTCTCCTAGAGGGAGGACTGGGAGATTGAGACTGAGGTGGTGGGAGGAAAGAGAGAAAGAGCAGGTATGTAATCACATTCATGACCTGACAGTAGCTTGTGAACCTCTGGATCCAGCCACTCCTGAAGCTCTTTGACTTCTCAGTTTTATGAGTCAATACATTCTTTTTCCTTTACTTATTCTGTGACTTTCAACTGAAAGAAACTTCAGTAGAACAGGTGTCGGGCAGGTCGAGGGGAGAACATCAGAAGTGATGGAACAGGAACCATGGACTGTGGGGGGACAATGGTAAGAGCGGTACCTGTGGTGCAGTGAGGAGCTAGAACACGTGACAAGACTCTTTTATGTGTAAAGGAGATAGAGTAACAGGTAGGCAAACACTAAAAGAGATGGAAAAATATTTTTGAAAAAATCGTCAACTCCAATCTCCTGGACAATGTATGGCTAACTGTGCCCTGTCACTAAAATGCAATACTTCAATACTTTCTTCAGGATGACGTGAAATGTTTCAGTTGGATGAGAATCGTGCTCTACTACGTGAAGAGATATTTTACTATGAAAATAATTTTCTGCAAACCTCTGCCGCTCCATTACATTAATAGCTTCTTAAGTTTAATAAAACATGGCATTTACCACACCAAATAGTTAACAAGATGTGGAACAAGAAATAAACTTATGATTTCTTCCAATCCCATGGAGCACTGTCTTCATGTTGTCTAGTCTCCAGACCTGGAAACATTTTTGTTGCGATAATCATTTGGTTCACTTTTCAAAAGAGTCATAAAGAGCTGTCCCTTATTCCCTTTCTAGAGTCACAATGACATGGAGCAATCAAAGTAACCCATTATCAGAGAATCCCCCACTTTGTTCAAATTATAAACATCAACGGGCCTCTCTCCTGAGAATGCAAAGAGCAGGCAAGTGTGGGTGAGCTAGGCTTGTCGTTAGCAAGATAAACCAGGTTCACTTGGCACTTTGTTTTAGCAAAGGCACCATAAGTAGTGATTACGCTTCACCTGGGTTTTGCACCGATCATCAAAATGCTGACAGTCACTTAAATTAGTCACTGGGTTGAATAATCACCCTGAAAGAACTGAGAGGGTACAACTTATATTATAAAAATGGAACTGAGCACATGAGACAAAGTATTAATCGGTGTGGTAGAAGAGATCTTTGTCAGAATAATAGAGACAATTAAAGACACGAATTAGACATCAACTGTACAGGGAACTCTTAGTGACATGAGCACAACAGCTAAACTGTGCAATTACAAAGTTAAGCATAACTCAGAGTGCATCTTTCTCCTTCTGAAAACAGCTGATGCCAGGATAGCCTGTGCACATCACTCAGTGGCTTACTGCAGAAGTCATGCATGATCTTGTGGAGCCCTTTTGGAATGGACAGGATAGAAATCTAGAGTTTTGTCATCAGAAATAGGAGATTGTATTAATAAATATTAGACACTGACGGCACACTGAACAAGAGGACCCCTTCCAAACATCACTAATAAACCTACCCCAGAAAACTTGCATTTGCCAAGAGTCAAAGGAAACCATTTGGAAAAGAGGCATCTGGTCCCTTTTCAGAGCTGTTCATTTTGCAATTAGCAAAGAGAAAATTAGCTCTTTCTGACTTTTTTGGGGGTCAGGAGAGGCAGCAGAGTGGGTCTGGAGATAAAATGGATAAATTAAACTACTGCTTGTAATAGAATTGCCTGATTTTATGGGGTTATAAACTTGAAGGGGCCTTTTAAGGATACTTACTTTGGGAATCTGCTCAAATGCAATTCTCTGCCCAAACTTAATTGGTGGATACATTTTCTATTCTTATAGCTTTCTGAAAATAAACATGTATAATTTTATCATCGGATAAAAAGTAGTCTTTTAAATAAAAAGTATAAAAATAAAAGTATAAGTAAATAGTAACATATTAAGAAGATTCCTGAAGCAGATGATATGATCTCCCCCAGAAGCCCACTCCTTTGTTTCCTTCTCCCCGTTGGTACTAGGGCTAGGTACACAGTCAGCAAGAACCTTATATGTAGTGAGCATCCAAGTGACTCCTCAGACTCTTGGGGTCTGTTTTTCAGGGAATAGTTTACCCCTGTGAATCTCATCCACACCTTTTCCATCTCTAGGCTGGAAACATGGTTAATTAAGTAATAATAACTTTTCAAATAACAATGATAAGAAATAACACACTCTGAAGTTCACAGTCCAAATAAGGTAAGCATTTTCTAATAATTGTCTAACAGTTAACCCTAATATTAAATTCAGAGCTGATTTGGCTTCTTTCTTCTTCTTGATTTTTTTTTGCTTTTTCCCTCCTGTTTCCACCTCTGCATTCATGCCTCTAAATCTGCCTCTTCCTTTATTCTGTCTTCTCACCATTTCTTATTTGCCTCGATTTTAACTATGTTGTACATACTCCTAAAGTCATGCTTTAAAAATCATTAATTTTATAGTTATTAAAGTTTATATGCCCAAAGTTTTCAAACTGTTTTTCTCTGAGTCATTGGCCCTTGATAGAAAAAGAGGTTTTTCTTTCTTATTTCATATCTTGTTCCTTAATTTCCTTGAAATCTATAATTGTTATCTCTCAGCCATCTCTTTTCCAGAATAATTGTCCGTGTTGTCTCTATTTTCTAGCACCTTAATCACATCTATGACTCTAATAAAAAGATTCACTTTATATCAACTTAAAATGAGAATGTCAACTATGTACTCAGCCCTGAGCTCTGAGACAGTTTCTGCCCTTGAGAAGTTGTTGGAAAGAGGACAAAAGGAATTGCTTTTTGTTCTTGATACACAGTGGTTCAATCTTACATGGATTTCTGTTTTCTAAGGTTTAATATCAAGCTATGTTAACATGGGCCTTTCCTGGCCTCCCACACCCCACGCAGGGAAACTGAGATTAGCTCCTTTCCCAGAATCACAAAGTAGGAGAGTGCGACACAAGCAGAATTCCAACACGGATCTTCCGGCAACTCGGGACATGCCCCCACAGGGTGACAGGTACACACACTCACGTTTCAAACAAAATCACTCAGTCTAGTTCCTCAGTTGTCCCCACAATAACTGCCCTACTAGATACTTACTCTGAGAAGTAGAAAGATTGGAGAAAGCAGACTTTGTTCGACCTGCCAACCATTCCAGGCTTTCGTGCATGTTGGCCAAAGCTTTGAGGTCACTGACGTCACAAAGGATGTCTTGTGGAGGGATTAATTTATCACCCAGGTTCCCAATAAGAACTTCAGACTCCTTGCCAAAGGCTGCCCTGAAAAACAAATCAGAAACACATTTCAATACAGCCGGGGAAAAGCAGGACTAGGCAACACTTTTTAAGGCACGCCTAGGACCAGGACTGAGTTGATCCCTACTTTATAGCACGCTCTTTTTCCTACATGTAACTTGGTGAGAAAACTATCACATGCCTACTTAACGTTATTTCAGTAGGAGAAAAAGTTCTTAGAAGAAGAAACAAGTTGTACCTTCGACAGGACCCAATGTATGAGCCTGACTGACACAGTAACGGTCCCTGGGGATGGCATCTACGCTGCTCTCCTGTTGGTTTTTTTCCTTGCCTGTGCTCATGCTCTGGGAGGTGATGAACAGCTTAGGGTGTTAAATATGTAGATGGTTTGAAATTTATTGTAATAAAAATAAAAATAAAACAACCACGTTAATCTGGTCACTAGAAAATATTTTAAAATGTTCAAAAGCAAAGAGGACTTAGCTTCTTTAACAGAGAAGGCTACAGCTGAGATGAATGGCAAGCCTCATTCATTCACTCATTCATTTGCTTGTGCTAAAACTATAAGCATTAAGGCATTCAGCATTTGGAAAGAGAAACCAATGCAAATCAATGCTGGGGTCCTTTTACTGATTGGAAAATATAATCAGGTGGGCTTCACACGGAGTCCAGTGTCTTCAGAATGTTTCTTGGGGGGTTGAAAAAAATCAAGTTACACGGGGTTACAAAGGATGCAGCTGGATGGGACCCTGAGACTACATGGCTCGGCCACTGCCGAGATGAAGAAATGGAGCCTCAGAAAGTTACCTGTTCTGCATAACATGACGCATGAATGGCAAAGCTGGGAAGAAGGTGTCTTATTTCCACAGCTCTCTCTCTTTTAAGAAGAAAAAGAAAGAGAGCCAAAATGAGAAAAGATGACTGAGAATGTTAGGGAAAAATTTGTCTTTTCAGGAAAGTTACCCACAGGTGGGTAAGCAGAGCTGACGCTGGAGGACGTTGGAACAGGCACCTGGAGAGTTTTCTGTAAGTCCTGAGGCTTTTAAAACTCAAAACACCTTAAGTGAGAAGAAGCCAGGGCTTTATTGAAGTAGAATAAGGCATATTAAGTCTCGAGCATGCAGTGATTGAAAATAGTTGACATAGAGTCAGAAAGATGCTTAATTGACACATAGGCACTTACTGCCCCACACTGTAGCAGATGCTCAATGCTGAAAGAAACAACTGCTGTGAATTAAGTCCTTATGAAAAATGTTTATGCTACCAAGTAGTGACTCATGATTAGCCTTCTTATGTCAACAGAGAGTTACCTTTTTTTAAAGAAAAGCCAAAATTGATTGGCTGATTTGGGTAAGTCGTGGCTACGGAGGCAGTAAGGAGCAGGGGACTGAGCTCACGAAACTTGGGTGTGCATACCAGTCTTGGGGTCTTGTAAAAGGTCTCGGGATGGGGCCCCAAATTCTGCATTTTTAACTAGTTTCCAGGTGATGCCCAGGCTTGTTTGCCTGTGAAGCATGCTTTCCTGGAGTAGCAAGGGTTGGAGCACAGGCTTCAAAGTCAGATAAATCTGGGTTTGAATCCTGCATCTGCCACTTGCTTGTTGTGTGATGCTGGTAACTTCCCTGAGCATTATTATGTAGGGGTAATAGTACTGACCTTATAGGAAGTAATGTAAGGTGTAGAGAGCTGACTTAAAAAACTTTTTATTGAGAAAATTTCAACAATTACAAAGGAGAGGGAAGAGTATAACAAACTCCCATGTATCCATCTCCCAGCTTCGACTGTCAGCAACTCATGGGCAGTCTTATTTCTTCCATCCCTATCTACCCCCTCCCACCTTATTTTGAAGCCAATCATTCAGGTGATACTTTTAATTGCATAACAGTGTGTGGAACTTGGTAAAAGCTAATTAGCTGTAGTTATTATTCTTAGGTCTGTTGAGACAACTAGTTTATTTAGCATCAACCCAAGGTATATGATGATGAGTAAATGTAAATACATAAGAATGAGCAGGAGGAAATAAGTCAGGTCTCAAGGGCTAGTTTTACAAATGGAACTTTGTAACACCAAAGCATATGTCACTGCATCTCATAGTCCAGATTTTTATCAGAATCTTCAAGAGCTAAGTTACTATAACAGAAACAATTAGTTGCCTACCCAATATCCATTACCCCATGCCTTCTTGGTACAAGGACCCTGAAATTGTTGGGGTCAGCAATGTGTCCAATTTAAAATGAAACAAAACAAATAAACTCACTAAATTTTCCTGCCCCTCTTGCGTATGTGGTGGCCAGTGAGATGTAAACTGAAATCAGTAGATTTCTCTCTAGCAATCTCAGTTGGCAGGGACCTCTTTTGCCTTTCCCCTTCTGGAATGCAGCTATGGCAACTGAGGCTGCAGCAGGTCTTCTCAAACATCAGGTGACCTTGAGCATGGGAGCCAGGGTTGAGAATAACGGAGCCAAAAGATAGAGGGGCACTGGTGCACTGGTGCCATCATGGAGCTGCAGTGCAGTCCCAGACAATATGCTTCTGAGTTTCATGTCAAAGCAGAGAAAATGAAACCCTATTTGTTTAAGCCACTGCTATTTCAAGTTTCTGTTACTAGCTGCTAAATGCAATTTCTAACTGACACAATTATCTAATTAGCATAAGTGATGTCATCCTCAGAAAACTTTCTCTGAATTTAGATATCCCTAAAATTCAGTTAATTGGGAAAAACAAAACAATGTCTCCTCCATGATTTGAGCCCAGAAGACATTTATAATATTTTTCCCCTTGGCTGTCTCTCGGTTAGGTTGTAAATATTTAGTTTTCTTAATCTGCCCTTTTATATCGACTGTTCTAGCCCCTTAATCATCTTTGATAGATATAACACAAAAAATGCCTCTGAGCTGGGTGGTTAGAAAGCAACAAGGGAGACAAACAGCTTTGGAAACTAGGCTTGGAGCTATTTTCATGCATATGGGTGTAACCCTGGGTGGAATGTGACAATCAAGACAAATGTATTTATGTAGAAGTCTAATCTGCTCGAGTGGGGATCTTGGGCCCTGGGCACGACTGCGGCGCGCTTGCAGCGCGAGATGCCTACCCCATTTCCCTCTGCTTAACCTCCTCAGACAGGAGAGCAATAGACTGAGAAAAATACAAACTGCCTCATGTTGAATACATAGTAGACATCTCATTTGACAGGAATCCATGATCACCCCCTAACGACCTGAAAAGAGCACAGAAACCATGACATGAAGAATAAGTGATTGACAGCTATAACCATTCCACATAAAAAAATCATTCCTTCGAGGATGTGTGTGTGTCAAGGGGTTTGGTGGAAGGTTTTTATGTGTTGGAATAACCTTAAAAGGATGGCTTTAGCTGCTTGACTACAGATTTTTTTTTTTAAATCCTCTGATTTATTAAATTACGGTATAGCTACAGTGTGGAAAACTTGGAAGTTATTAGAAAGCATATAGTAGAAAATACTTGATACCATAGAGAAATGTTTGGTATAGCTTATATTTAGCCATGATATGCAGTTGATTAAATAATCTTATAAAACTATATGTACCATTTGATATTAATAGAAAATAATCAAATATATGAATGGAACAAAGATTGGATATCGGTATACCAAAATGTTAATCGGACTGTGTAACTGGATCATGCTTTCTGCTTTTCTGTACTTTCCACATTTTCTCCAAAAAACATGGTTACTTTTTAATTCAATAATTACAAAGGAGAGGGAAGAAAAGTGGAAAATCCCACCACACACGAGAAAACTTTCAAATGGGCATGTCAAGAATCCCAGCATGGACAACCGGAGGACGCGGGTATTCAGTCACTTGCCCCCAGCGGGAGGCAGGGAGGGGTTGGCCTGAAGGCTGGTCTGGACTTGTGGCTCCAGCCTTTCTAAAGCAGTCACCGCCCCCTGCAGAGCATCTCAGTGCCAGAATGACGACCACCTGGCAGCTGGACCAACATTATTCCCTCTTTCTAGATCTGAATATTTATATATTCTTCATCTTTTGCTTATTATGCATGGGCAGTAGAATAATCACTATAATCAGAAGGTGAAGTAGAAGAAACCCAGAAGTAACAGGTGCTGGGTAGTTGCCCAAAGATCATCTGACGTAGCCAGGAACAGAAATTAGAACTAAGAATGTGTATGTTTTGGGTACTGAACCCCGTATGAGTCGTCGCCTTTGTAATCAGCTGGCCAACATGCTCGCATAGAAGGCTATGAAACTGAATAAGATCGTTAAACCTGTTAAGCTTAATTTTTGCCACACAATTATTTGTAATCTTTAATAAGCTCAATCTGACAAGAATTCATTTAAAAGAATTTTGCCAAGACTGTTAAACCTATTTAACTTAATTCTGCCACACAATTATATTCTTTAAAGGTCTATCTGACAAGAATTCTTTTAAGAAAAATCTGCCAAAGATGCCCCAAATTGTCTCCATTTAGTATTTAAAGAATTCTGTTATCCACTGAAAGAAAGGCAGAAAAGTCTGCATTTCCAGCAGACGAAATGCAATTAAGAAAGAACCATCATAAATGGTTTCAAAGTGACTGATTTGCAGTTCTGTGCTATATCTGTATGATCATATAACATACACTCTCGGACCCATTTTCTCTCTCTCTGCCCTGTTCCAGACTTATTTGACAGCAAAAGAAGTGAGGCAGGGCCCACAGTCCTGGAGCTCCCCTCTCTTGCTGTGCGCCCGGTTACCCAGAAGGAGCTGGTCTGATGGGTGAAACAGCCTCCGCAGGGTTCAGCTGTGCTATCAGTAGGGGGGCAACGCTTACCAAGCTGGGGTGCTGGAATGCTTTGACCCAGAGACCAACATACAGTGCTTACCCTGCCTTTCCCTCAACCAATAACAAGAATATGTGGGTCTGGGAATCAAGGATTAAAAGTAGAAACGGCCCCTCCTCTCATTATTAAAACTTCTCATCGAGGTCTTGCTCTTGCCACTGCAACTTTGGGCTGAGTCTGCCTAGTATGCTTCCCCTGGAAGAAACA